AGGGTGAATACATCTCATTACAATGATTTACTGGTAGTCTCGAAACCCTACTTTCTTACGAATATAATAAAACTGGCCAACATTTGTCCGAATAGTTCCCATCAATCTGCTGTACTATGAAGAGAAGTTGGGATTCTAATAAGTCCACAGCACATTGAGGCTAGCATACCTTTCGTTTCGCATTGAAGGGATCCGTAATTTGGTGCCACCATATACCGAAGGACTATTGGATTGTGTGAAACTGATTATGCTTTCTAACTCGGACGATGTGCACCAATTGACGTACGGAATCTCGGCCCAATTGAGTTTAGAATCGCGATAATTGACTGAAAGCGAGTGAATTGGCTATTGCTGCCCGATGCTTCCCAAATGGAGCTAATCCTTCGGGAAAGATTGCAGTTTCAGCATGTGCCACTTGGGCTGCATATGTATCCTCCCCCGGTTCTGCAGTTCCCAAGGCCAAAAGTGTGTCTGTACCAGAGAAAAGCGGTGCTTCTGATTCTCCCCAATTCACTTCGTGTCCTGGGGCCTTTCACCACTTTCACAAATCTTCGGTGGGAAAGAGTGTAAAGCCGATTTCCTTTGAGCTGTGACTCCACTCAATTGCGGGTAGAATAGGCGTCGTTTCCGTAGCAGCCTTCATGTCGTGTGTACACTCTGGGGCCAATGGCCCGATGCATCATCATCCTCCGGCCCGAATGTTGCATCATCTGCAGCTCTGTCAAGGGGGGCTCAACAGACGGACGCCGAGAATCGAGTGGCCTTATTTATGGAGGCTATAACTCATTAGGCCGTCATAACGCCAACTTGCTGGTTCCCCATAACACACAAGATTGGCCATCTGCACACGGCTTTGCGAGCCGTGGATTGTCTGGTCGGTTGGCAAGACAATTGGCGCGTGTTGGCGCCCACCGATGTTGGCAACTTCGAATACCAGCAGTTTTCCAGGACGAGCATTAACCGTTGCGTCAAATGCACGAAAATTAAAGCACCAATTGCCCTGTGGAGGCTTCTTGCTTCGCCTGAATTTGTTGCATTCTGCAGCGCCAATTATAAACTCCCAACTAATGTCAACATCCCAAATAGAAACAGCAACTTGGTCTTGACAACT